ACACACACACACACACACACACACACACACACACACACACCCCTCAGAGGCATTTGCGTGTCTAATAATGTATGCAGCAGCATAAAGATAGTTTTACAACGAACATTAACATGGAGAATTACTGCACACGGCTGCTATAATTAGCATAGGCAAAGTTAGTACAAATGCCTTTCAAGAGCTTTTATTGCAATACTTGGAAATCTGAAATCTCTCCATCCATCCATCCATTTTCAATAATAGCTCCTGCTCAGGGTCAGGGGTGAGCCGGACTTAATCCCAGTTTACTTTTGGGCAAGAGGCGGGGTACACCCTGCAAGAAATGTCCCCAGAGGCAGGCCATGTTTTTGTTTTTTTTTGTGCTTGATGGCCAGTATTTTCTTTAAAAGCTTATCACGGCGTTCCTGAAAATAATGTGCGGTGTGCGGGCCTACATGTGACAAATGCGTCAATGTTGGCAGTGTCACAAAATTGCAATCAATTGGCATCAAATGGGAGGTAGACATCTCTACCTCTCCCCACAGCAACCTCTGAAAATATCAGGATGATCGCCCAAATATTTGGGCTTTTACGGTGAAATGTTTTCCTCATGAAGCCATGTAAGTTTATGTCATGAGCGCCTCTATGGAGAGGAACGGAACGTAGATGTTTTACAGATGTGTGCATCTGAGATCCCAGTTTTGTGTCGAATGTATGTAATTAGTGGTTGGGACAACATTGCTTGTTTACACGCTACTGCTCTTAAGTGCCAGCGCCTAATGTTCATCATTGAAGTTCCAATCAGCCAACAAGACATGCAACAGAAACCAGAACAGGGTTCCTTCCCACTCTTCCACTTGCTTTTTATTTATGGACCCCTTTTAAGGACTTTTGAGGGCTACTTTAGCCATTTTTAAGGATTTTTTTTCTCCATTCAACAGTGGATTCACAGTGGATTTAATGCCCGCTCAGCAATATGCGGGCTGAACAGAAAGCCACATATCACTGAGCTGGGGTTTAAATCATTGCTGCCAAAGGAAGGGCACATCTTTATTTTTAGGGGCAATCAGCTAACCCTTTATTTGACATACTGTATGTCAAATTTTCATTTTCTTACCTGTTTTACAGGTAGGAAAATGAAAAAAACTTGAATTCATTCTCAAATAAAGTACACTAAGAAGAAATTCAACGTAGAAAATAGAAAACGTCAATTTATTTTCGAATAAAAATAAATTTTTAAGGAGTTTTATTGAGTTTAGAAGCTTTCCCTGAAAATTAAGGACAATTAAGAACATAGTTTTACAACTTATTTTTTATGGATTTTTATTAACTTTAAGGACCCGTGAGAACCCTGCTGAAGGGAGATCTGAAAGACAATCTTATCATATTGAGGAAATGACCGATTTCACCCTCTAAGCATTTGGTGCACACACACCCACACACACACGCACACACCCCCACCCCCACCGGTACCTATATATACATACACATGATTTGTTTCAAACTTTTGATGTCTTCAGTAGTCACGTTCTTTTTTTGGTGGCATTATGACTTTAAAAAATGGTCGGAGGGGTTAATTTTTAATCACTTCTCTATTTTTCATTATCTAAAATAGATTGGTTGCATGAGTGCATGAGTTGAGTGCAATCATTTTGCTATTAATTATTTGGTGCATCCTGAGGGGTTTTATTGTTGTTTTTCTTCACCACCACCATCAGCACAAGCAAAGACCTGAGAAAAGAGGGCTCTCCACCTCGCTCCCTTGCTGCACCCGCTCCCACTGCAAATCCCAGGTCAAAGCAAGAGCAGCCAATAACAGCACCAGCGTGTTGGAAATGACAATAAATGACGGGAGATGAAGAGACAAAAGAAAAGGTGAGGAAGTGGAGGAAGAAAAAGGAACCAGATGAGCTCAGATGTCAAAGAGATGAAGGGAAGCCAAGGGAGCTGATTGTGGAAATGGGAACCATGTTGAAGACATTCACTTCAAATCAGCACCATGTGTCCTCCTGAGCCTTATTATCCCATAAACGAACTTTATTGAAGCAACAAAGTACTTTTGGAACTGTGCAAAAACAATAAAGGGGCCTTGCTTGTCTCGGCCCCAATCCAGGATTGGTCTACAGTACTTCCTCTGGGCACTGATGAAAATAAGGGGATGAGTTTTGCCCCCACTCGTGCTGCCTGAGTAATCGACTATTAATGATTAAAAAAAAAAAGAACAACTTGCAATTACACAAGAAAAACAAATGAGGCGCAGCAGTTTTCACTGAGCTGACCATCCAAATTCACTGGGATGGAAGGATGGTCTGCAAGGGCCAAATGGTTACTCAATTTTGCATCGTGATTCAACGTCAAAATTGTGCGTAAGCATACTTTTCCCATAAACCCCACGATTCCGTTTTTGAAGCAATTTGTTGACTTCCTTGTCATGCTGGCTTTCGTGCTACTTCTTTTCACTAGTTACAGTCACTGTCCACTGGCCGCCACACGTGTCACATGACTAAGAATGGCCAAATGTTGTCATGAATCACACACTAATTTTGTTGTATGTGAAACTAACATTACCACTGGAAAATGTAAATCTAAGTCCACGGGAAAATAAGAGCGGGCACTGTCGGTTTCCCTTCCCTTTGATTCAGGCTTTTCCTCCTAGTGGTTCCCTGTACTAAGTATATATGACAAGGTGGGAGTGAAAATGACTACTGAAGAGTGTCAAAGTGTTCTCGAGAGCCCAAAAAAAGAGTGCTAACAATAGCGCAGCACATTTCTTCCATGGAGTCACTATAAAGAGGACAGACAAGCAGCCATAACTATTCGAGACTGCCATATGAGATGACACATGTTCCTGACAGTTCCGACAGACGATAATTTTAAGGTGGGTGTGTCCTGTGATGTGTCACTGAGCCCCTGCCTGCTTCCTCAGCCATTTTACCTCACAATACATGTGGTGAATTTGGGTCTTTGTGGCAGGCTTAAGAGGTACCAATTACGACCACGAAAAACAAATGCAGTGACACATCACCTTACAAGTGTCCCGACTTGCGCATAACGAGCCTACGGAGCCCCAAAGGGGACATGGAAGAAAAAAAACAAAAAACTTTGCGTTCCCTCGCAATGATCGCGAGATAATGCAAACTTTTTTTTTTTTGGAAGAGGAAGCTTTTTATTTGACTGCGCGTTTTTGTACTTACGGGTCAGTTTGGCTAGTGTTGGCTCTCATGCGTGTTTGATTGAGAGACGACTAATTCGCGGGAAGGAGAGAATTGTGGAGGAGGACTTGGAAACTTTATTTAACCTCAAGGCCAGCTTTAATATCTATGTATTTCAAGTCAATTTCAAAGTAAAATTCCATTAAACTCGCCATCCATGTTTGTTGTTTTTAGTTACCCGGAAGTACATCAACATGCATTTAATAAAAAAAAAAATTTAAAAAGCGCCTCTTGCAAAAAAAAAGAAAAAAAAGTTTGCGCTCTTGCGCAATCTTTGCAAGGGAATGCAATTTTTTTTTTCTTCCACGTCCCCTTAGGGCATGGGTGTCAAACTCATTTTTGTCGCGGGCCACATTGTAGTTACGGTTTCCCTGAGAAGGCCGTTATGAATTTTGGGAAACCATATAAATGTTTAATCACCTCCACATATTGCATACACAGCGCACAAAAAATTGATGGATAACTAGCTTTAAAATCAGAAGTCAAGAATAATGACTGTTATTGCGGATTCCATATGACAATTAGGAATTTTGGTTCAGACTTCAGCAAGCATCATGGAACTTGACATGCTTGATTTGCTTTTGCAGGCCACATAAAATGATGTGGCGGGCCAGATCTGGCCCCCGGGCCTTGACTTTGACACTGTGCCTTAGGGGCTCCGTATGAACCATCGTTTGGTTGAGTCTTAACTTTGTGTTGTGAGCCAAAATTGGTGTTAGCCAGTCAGTCAAAGTCAGGCAAAGTATTGCATCAAATAGACATTGTGCACAGGTTGAGTGGACAGATGCTTGAGTTATGATGCTGCAGCTGATGAACGTGTACTGTGGCTGTCAGCAATTGTGATTGTTTACAAAACCTGGCTTAGTGTGTATGCACGATGGGAATTTGTTGAAATGGCTTTCACATCCGCTGAGGAAGGAACACGTAAGCATCCTGTAGGGGAGCACTTTGATGAAAATAAACCTTGAGATGAGACGGAGAGCATGCAGGAGACAAATCAATAAAAACGCAGGCTGAAAGAAAAAGTAAGCGCCGCCGCCAAAGGGCTATTGACTCTCATTCCTGGGCTGATTATATTTAAAGTGAAACCACATGAAACTATCTTCCTTGTGTGTGTCTGTGCCAGCATGTATCAGAAAGTATGGTAAAAGTAATTGAGACTTGAAATGAATCACTGGCCTTTCTCCACATCAAACTATTCATCCCTCTATCCATTTTCAACACCGCTTATCCTGAACAGGGTCATGAAGAGTTGCTGGAGCCGGTTCCAGCTGACTTCCGGCGGAAGGCAAACGACACCCTGAACTGGTCGCCAGCATCAACATCCACACCATCACTGAGTGGGAACCAATCCCACGCTGCCCGCTCACAAGTCAGGCGGGTGTACCACTACCCCATCAGCGACTACATCAAACTATTGATAGCTAAAAAAAATATATATACATATATATAATATCTTAAATTATGTATTTGCTCACATTTAATTCAACAAATTGAGTGTAAGTTTTATCATGGCGGCTAAATCCCAACTGTGTCACAATCAGTTGTTTTGCTAAATGAATAGTGTAACAAGAGAAATGGTACAAAAACAACTGATAAAAATACTGTAATAACTTGAGCTGCGAGCGGCACTCAAGGGCCCTCGCAATCCTTGCCCTCATAAGGATCAGCGGTTGGGATTAATGGATGGATGAAAATATTTGAACTCAAATGTATTGATAAGAGCACTTTAAAACAAGCACCACTGTATACAAAGTGCTGTACATGGAGCAAAAAGGAACTACAACGGCAATAAAATAGAGCAAACAAATATATAGTTTCTATGTTAGGCACTTTATTGATTTAGTCTTATTGACTCACAAACACAAATATTTGTATGAACAGATTTAAAGGTCTTGATGATTGACGGACAAGTCCATCCGAAAAACCAGAAGAAATTAGTCCAAAGTAAAAAAAAAACCAAAAACAAAAAAACTGAGAGTTTAAGGGTGTTAAGCTCACAGGAAAAGACAGGAGTGCTTCAAAGAACACATTTTTAGGAGGTTAACTAATCGTATCTTTTAATGTATTTTGTTCGATGATTAGAATGTCATCCTATACAGTAAATATTGCTCAACATTTGCGTTGTGCCTTTCTACTTCCAGACCTGCTGAACGTTGCAACTGTCACACTTTAGTACAGTCATCAAAGTAGTACAAAGTATTGGAAAAGTCAGTGAAAAGGCACGAGAGACTGGCTCAACAATCAAAACACACAACACCCAGAGGGGGCACATGCAGCCGCTTCGGGGCGAGGAAGGTGCTGCAGCTGTTGTCCTAAGGAGCTGCAAGAGTTTTCATTTGTCATTTTATTGATACATTTTCGAGGATTCTCCAATCAGCAGCTTCCGAGGACAACAAGTGCCTCCTCCCACACACTGGCGTTAACATTCTATGAACTTGGCCTGCCAAGTCTGACCACTAGAGGACACTCAGGTTTCAATGAGGAGATGACCAGCCACCGCAATAACTACACAGCAAGAGAGCTCCTTTCTCTCACACGCTCACCTCCATGACTCAAATTCAACATTACCCACAACAACGCACCACTGTGATTGCTAAATCAGCCCAGTAGTTTATCTGAAAGAATGCTAAGTCATTTTCAGGTTTGGAGTGACATGTTTGGGTGTTATTACGCATAAAAAGACCAGTTTCACTTGTTCTGTCTGTTCCAAGTTTTGTATTTGGCGTATGCAAGAAACTCGCCACACGTTTAAATTCAAAACCACGATTATTTGTATACAACATTGGCACTGAGGCTTCTCTTTAAGCACGGATGGTCACAGAGCAACAAGCCTATGTTGAGATAAGAGGATCCAACCCCCCCATAAAATTTGATTATATCTGCATTTGCTGTAATCCTTCAAATGTCAGCTGAGAGCACAAAGCAAACATCCTGCCTGAGGGCTGATTGTTCAGTAGGAATGTAGAAGTGATCGCTGTTTGAGAACAGTAATCATCTATCAAATGATGTCACTTTGAGTTCATTTTTATGGTGACCAGCTTTAACTGGCCCCGTCCTACTCACATAATGATAATCAAGCCTAATTTAAACTTTTTTTTCCTCTCCTCTGGGAAATAAAAGTGGCCAAAGCTCCAATTGACCAATATCCAAACAATGGTCGAGACAGCAATGGTCAGGGCCAACAATCATAAATATTAAACCTGTTCAATATTTACAATCGCACTGATTCCAAGATTGTGACATTAGCAAGCAACTTGAATCTTACACTGCTGCCCAACACAAATAGATAAGCAACCGTTTGTATTGGGTGTGTTTATAACATGTCATCCACCAAAACAAAGATGAGTGAGAAGAGACTGCAACCACTACTATCTGATAAGTTAGCCTAGCTCCTTTATTTCATCTTCTACTATTCTTACACTTTGTCATTTCTGGCAGTCCAGATGCACTGTGGCACCATGCTGTCTCTATAGGTCAGCCTTGGTACTACAACAGCATCAGGATTTAGCGCCAAAAACTTGCGATTGTCAGTCACGATAATGTTGTGTCTGTTGTGTGATGTGCTGGTCATCTTCAGTACACCATACACTATATAAGCAGTATATATTTTTTGATATATCGCTGTCACATTTTAAAAAAATCCTTCAAGATGCTAACAATAAGTATGCGTATCACTCTTAGCTGTCAGTAGAAGTATCTCCGATTCATATTTAGGTGTACTTGGGAGCCAACGTGCAGCAATGCTTCGGATGATAGAGGATTTAATAACAGTCCATTTGAAGAGCGATCATCTGGATGACATAATGCAGTGTGAAGCATGGCAGTGTTGTGGAAGTGTGAGAATGGTAAATTTGAGTCTGCAGGTAGTAGCATCACATGATGCTGAAGAAAGCTTTAACACACAAATTCTTGTCTCATGCGGATGATCTGTAGCAAGGCAGCTTGGACGTCCTCATCCATGTGGCCCTACAAATAAAGAAATAAAACACTTTGAGAAGGATTATGGACAGCTACTAACTTACTCTTATACATTGCATGGTTATTATGAATTTGAACCATTTGCTCAATGCAATGTGTATTTTTGTGTGTGTATTTGTAAAAAATATTGTATTTCCATCTCCACCTGGACTTAATTAATAGTACCACCACTTACCCTGCACTAGAATGCAAATGGTCCCTAACATCTTTGCATAATCAAGTATCAAGTACAACTTTATTGTCAAATGTGCTGTGCAACATACAGCACAGATGAAATTTCCTCCCTCTTAAACAGACAACATAATGAAAGTGTGGACAAACCTGCAAAAATGTCCCTGTTCTTAGAGAAATGTGTTTTTTACAAAATATAGTTTTGCCAGAACAGAAAAAAATGGTTCCGTTGTCAGAGTCAGCATCAGTTTAGGATTTGTGTTACAGCGTTCGGCTTGTTGTGCATGACGACTTATTTTACACACAACCTATTTATTGATTACACTCAACAGAACCTCTGAGGAGAAATTTCAACCCACTCTGGTGTATACTCTATGTTGCGCATCATACAGAGTCCCAGATTAGACACATGCCGTCACGCAAAGAGTGAAAGAACAGCGCAAACTGTGCTGTACCTCACTTCTTAAAACTGATGCTAAAAAGCAAATAAATACGATGTGCCACTTGGTTTTCAGGTTTATGAACCAGTTTAACGTGGGCTGAGCTGTGTACTGCACAGAACACCACTGAAATTCATGATCTTATTCATATCCTTTTTTTAAATTTTTTTTAGCTACTATTGATTCACAAAATAAATATAATTTCATTCGACTTGTGCACCAAAAGAACATGTTGTAATCGTTAAGATGTGCGCCTCACAGTTCTATTTGGCTGCAATATCACATCATGCAACAAAAAACGGGTGTTAGAAACCAAACACATTTGTACAAGACTGTTTAGCTTGATGCATACTGGCACAATCAAAAAGGCGCACTCGGTCAAAACACAAAGACCAAAACCATACATCTATTCTATATAATTACATATTGTTTTGGTTTGCCACCCTCAAATGTTTAATAAAGTACAGTTTACGTCAAGACAACCAACCTGCGCTGCACTGAGGAGGTGTGTTCGATAGATGGAAACCACTTCTCTGTGTTGCCTCTCAGCATCCTAAATGAACCGAGAGAGAGAAAACACAAGATTATTGCTTCACTATAGAAAGGCAGTGACATCACCCAGTTTAAACTTCAGCCAAAACATGTTGCCTAATGTATTAGATAATAAGTCGACAATGATGCACACACACAAGTTACTGTTATCTTCCATGACTTGTTTCTCAAGGCAAAAGATGACCTTATTCAAATACCGTATTTTCGACACTAAAAGGCGCACCTTCAATGAATGGCCTATTTTGTAATTTTTCTCATATTTTGGACGCACCGGATTATAAAACGCAATCTACAATGCATCCACTGGATGGAGCTATGCCCAAGGAAAGGCAAACAGAAGGATCAGATGTCAGTAAAATGTAGGAGACTGGACTGTCTCAGAAGTGTTTGTTATTTATTCCTTTGTTGTGTATTCACAAATGAGGAAATCACTAAATAAATTCTGTAGGGGGGCTACAAATTTATTTTGTGATTTCCTCGCTTGATTTTCTGTTTTGATGCATTATTTTCAATTTTTGTAGTTTCATTGAAGGAATCCTTAATTTACGTTTTTCGGAGGCGGTCATGAACGCCTCTCGAGTTGAACGAAAGAAGAACAGGCACGGACAAAGACGGACAAAGACGTACCTGTATTTGTTGAGACTGTGAAAACCATAATAAAGTGTGCCTTTAAAAAAAAAAAAAAAAAAAAAAAAACACCACCACAGCTGTCCGTTTTTCAGAGCTGCAACAAAAGCTTATTTAATAAAGCAGTGACACAGTTCACTGAACCAACAGCAAGTTATAACATTGACTCATTAACGTTGAACTCTCTTGCCGCTATTCTATTTCTGTGTTCTATTGCATGTCTCCAGCAAGGAGCCATATTGGGGTCGACATATTACCATAATGACCAAACACAAGGCACACCGGATTTTAAGGCGTGCTGTGAGCTTTTAAGAAAATGGACGACTTTTCGGTGCGCCTTATAGTGCGGAAAATACGGTATGTGCCAAGACCTCTCAATTCAACTTAACTGTATTTATAGAGCACTTTCAAACAGTCATCGCTGCATACAAAGTGCTGTACATGGAGCAACTAACATATACAACAGTAAAGCAACAAATCGGTAACAAAGACCGGGTCTTGTGTGCGACATGAATCCACTCACAGCCAGCTGCTGCTGTAGGTTCTTGATCTGGGCTTGGAGGGTGTCGATGTGCTGCATCTGCCTTTTGTTCGGGGAGTTGCTGGTGTACGCCAGCTGGGACAAACCATTCAGAGCTTGCTTCAGCCGCTCCACGTCCGTCAGCAATTCCGTGATCTGACCCAAGCAGAAGCATGAGGAAAATGTATTCACCGCATGACCACACAGCACACAACAAAAAAAAAAAGGACAAAGCGTATGCGAGTCAGTGCAATGATTGTTTTAAAATGACGGCATGCAAATGAGGAAGCTGAGTAAGGCTCCGTGATCACTGATGACTGATTTCATCGTTACCTTCTTGTCTTTGGCTTCAGTCAGCTGAGATGATGTCTGAATCCTTCTCTGAAGATCACCAATGGTGCTGAGTGACTCATCATAGCGTTCTTTCAGCTCCCGAATTTCTCGTTCGATGGCCTGTCCCTTCTCATGAACAGCTTCCATCTCCCTCCTGGCCTTGCTCTCCCCCTCCCTCGCCTGAGTCGCCTCATGGTGTACCGCTTTGCATTCCTCTGTTAAACTCAACAGCTTGTTGGTCAAGTTGGTAGCTTCCTCCTCGAGATGCTGCTTCTCCTTCTTCATCTGGGCCATATGACCTTCCTTGAAGCGAAGATCTTCGAGAGCTTGAGTGGCTTGAAGAAGTTCAGATTGTAGGGCCGAAACGTCCTCGGCCCTCTGGCCGCTATTCTCCTGCTCTTCTCTGAGTCCCATTCGAAGCTCAGCGACTTCCGTCTCCAGGGCTTCACTGGCCTTGGTGTGCTTCTGCAACAGAGATGCCTGTTCTCTGTGGAGTTCCTGAACTTCCTTCTGCAGGGCACAAACCTTCTGGGCCTCCACCTGCTCAGTCTCTCGTGCTTTCTTGCAATCCGCCTGGGCTTGCTGCATGGTGTCGTGAAGGGCCTTGAGCTCCGTGTCATAGGTTGCAATGCGTGTCAGCTCCGATTTTAGACGGTCCTGGAGATTCTGGATTTGAGTGTTGCACAGGGCATTCCGGTCTTCAAGCTCAGCTTTCTGAAGATTGACCTCCTTGTGCTTCTGCTCCACATCGTTTAACTTGAGAGCCATCGCCTCATATCGGCCCTTGAACTCTTCCTCATCTCCCTTGCGCTTCTCACCGGTGACGAGAGCAGTGTCAAGTCTTTGTTGAACAGATTTGATCTCAACTTTCAGTTTCTCTTTCTCCAGTTTGTTATTCTCTCTTTCAGACTTCTCCCTGTTATACTTCTCTTCCATTTCCAACAGTTTAACCTTCAACTCCTTGACTTGGGTATTGTAGGAGTTTTCTTTTTCCTCAACGGCTGTCAGTGGGACAAATTTGGACTGAATAGCCTCCATGATGGTATCGAGTTCTTTCTTTTGGGCTTGCAGTTCTTGTGTCAGCTTCACATTTTCCTCCTGGGCCAACGCATGCATCGCCGACAGTTGGTTTGCTCTATTCTCTGCCTGCACCACGGCGGCGCCCATCTTTTCAGTCATACATTTGTGATCCTTCACGCTCATATAGTCATTTTTCATCTCTAACAGAACCTTTTCCAACTTTTCATGTAACTTGGCGTTTCCTTCCTTCACGTTCTTTAATTCCTCTCGAACTTCCTTCTCCGTGGACTCCAAATTCAAATTCTCAGACTTGACACTCTCTAACGTGGAGGTTAACTCTATCTTCAGTTGCTCATGCTCTTGTCTCGGCACATAGTCTCCCTCCAGGTTCAGTTTCAAAGTCTGACTCTGTGCTGTCAGCTGGGCACACCACTTTTCTCTGTCATCACACTTACTCTGTAAAAGTTCAAATGTCTTCATCACGTCAGCATTCTGAGTTTTCAAGGCTTTCATTTCACTCTGCTGTTTCTCTGCGGCACCTTGCAGATTGTTAATATTCTCCTGAAGCGTCACTTTCTCGGTGTTAAGCAGTTGGACTTGTGCCTCTGCTTTGCCACAACGTTCGCTGGCTTCCACGAGTTTGTCCTCCAGCTCCTCCACAGCCGATAGCATTCTCATTCGAGCTTCCTCATGTTCCTGGATTGGGATGAAGTCGACCTCAAGCCTGCTATTCAACTCCTCCAGCTTCTCTTGCAGTATCTCCCGCTCTTCCTCACTCTCCTCCATCTCATGAATAAGTGCCTGGCTTTTTGCAGTGACATCATGTAGTTTTTTCTTCAACGAGATGTTTTGCTCTTCCAGGGCAGCCTGAATCTTTTGTTGTTCCTCAGTGGGCACAGTCCCTGCTCCTGCTCCTCCCTGAGTCGGATGATCTAGCTTCCGATGGAGTTCCGCCACCTCTTCCAGAACACGATCGTAGTCGTCTCGGAGCTCAGTAAGCTGACGTTCCTTTTCATCTACTGCATTCGTCAGTAAGTTTTTCATGTTGTCAAATTTCTCGGCCGGTACCATGCTGCCCTGCTTAGATTGAGCTCCCTTCAGCTGTGTCTCCATTGCGAGGACAGTTTCCGAAAGTTCATCTCTCTCTGCAGTCACAGCTCCGAGCTCTTCATTTAACCGTTCAGCTTCAGTTGCCAGCTGGCTCTCACTGTTCTTGTACTCCTCCAATGCCTTCTCACTCTGTTTAAGACGATTGCGAACCCGACCCACTTCAGCTGAAGCCCCCTCATACTTGGCTTTGATATCCTGAAGCTGAGCACGAAGCTCTTCCGTGGCCTGGCCTCCCAAGTGTTCCTTCACCGCAACCACATGGGCCTGCAGCTGTTTAACTTTGCATTCCGACTCAAGCATCCTCTTCTGGACGTCCCCCAAGGCATCCTCGAGTTCTTGAACTTGCTGGTCAGCCTGTTTCTGGATGAGATCTCTGTTCTGAACCAGTTCTTGGCACTCTCGATTTTTTCTGCTCAGAGCTGAGTGAAGCCGCACCCTCTCCTCCTCGGTTACTTGTTGTTTTCTTCTGAGCATCTCAAGCTCATGCCGAAGAATTTCAAGATCACCAGAGAGACCCTTCTCTAATGGTCTGGACAGTGAACGAGACATTGCTGGATTCTGGAGTTTCTGACGGGAAAAGTGAGAAACACAGGATTGAGAGTAAGACAAACTAACAAGGCACTTGTTGGTTTTAGGACATGTTACGGAACTAACATATCAATTGCAAGTAACAGATTTAGATTTGTTTTCAGGCAGATTCATTTTTCAAAATGATCTTCCGACAATAAGTTCTCATCACTACATGCTAATGGTGACCACAACCTTGGAAACACATTGGCAGTTGTTTAAATCAGCTTAGCTTACCTGATCCGAATCCAGGCTATAAGCTTGCTTGACCAATATGTTCTCTTTTCCTGTTAAACAGTGAAAATGTAATTAACACAATGCAAATGAATATCAATTTGGTGATCATTTTTCGATTGTAATAATAGCTTATTTTCATGAAAGATCATTCGACCTTTGATCACTGACTGTCCAGAGTAGTCCCCCTGCAAATACAAAGAACAACACGTTTTGAATATGTGACCAATATGTAAAAAAATTAAAAAAAAAGATGACACAACAATAGAACATCTATCTGAGATAAATACACTTCAACAATTTCCGACAAGGAGGTATCAAAATGATCTGTATACATCCACAGACCATAGTGCTTTTGAGCTGGACCTTGACAGTCTCCAAGCCTCGTGACCCTTCTCGTTCGTTGGCACTAAGTAACACCTTTAATTGCTCCTTCTGATACAATGAAAAGAACAACAAAAAAAGAACAAACAAGTTTAACAGGCGACCATATTCAGATTACCACTGATTTTTGCATGGGTACATGCAAATTAAGGTTACCATCATCAGCATCACTTAAAAATGCTGAATCAGAAACTCGAATAACCCGAATAGTACTGGCTGCAGTTTTATCAGAAGTGCACAGGTCATAATTAAAGGAAGAGCAAAACACGGCACTTGATAAGAAGAATATTCGTATTCTTTCCCTTCTGGCTTGGACCATGAAACTGTCATGCTAGGCGTATCTTTTATGCCTGGTGGTTGATTTGCGGCACAGTGGACGACTGGTTAGCACGTCGGCCTCACAGTGCAGAGGGGGAGGGTTCGATTCCGGCTTCCTGTGTGGAGTTTGCATGTTGATGTCTGTGGCTGTGTGGGTTTTCTCCAGGGACTCCGGTTTCCTCCCACATTCCAAAAACATGCATGGCAGGTTGATTTCGTCCATTTCAAACACTTCTTTTAGGCTCTTAATCAAATGGACGCACGGAGGGGCATCAAAATTAGATCTACATCCCACTTTATTACGTACTGTAAGTACTGTAGCTGCTTTTATGGGTACCAATAAAATGTTCTGTATTGACTTTAAGGGGACACTGGCCAAATAACAACTTGATTGGTAGTAATTATTTTAGATTGGAAAAGCACGAAAAATGTGAAAAATACACCTCTATATTGATTTATTGCATTTTTAGAGCAAAATGTTTTATTGCGTGAATTCATCCATATTGGGTACCCATCACTCACCGACTGTATTTGTTGATTTATTCAACTTGGCAATTCCAGTCCAAAAGATGAAAGTCAAACCAGCTGCTACAGCAATTGGTCATTCTATGAATTACGTTAACATGCCTCAAATGCACTGCAGGGCCCACTTCAAAGTAAAAGCCTTACAAAGCATCGATGTCCATGTCATTATTGGTGAAGCTATTATTTTTACGTTGCCCCATATCATGTTGGCAACTAGTTTCCGTAATGCATATAATGAAAATCGCTGTGGCTGCTTCGATTTGTTTCATGCCTGGAAACAGGTCAAGTGGCATCGCATTTTTTATCATTGGAAGGAAGATATCTCTCTGATGGCCTATTTGATTGTGTTGGGTGGTTGTGCGTGTATCACACGTGTGACGTCTCTATCTGGGTTATCCTGTCACATGTTTGATTAATATAGGAGCGCATGTGACATTTATTACAAAATGTGCATGAATATTCAACATTTTCGAGTTCATTACAAAAATATCAACTCCTGCAGTGAGGAAATAATCATGAAAAAAGTACCCCATCCTTTTAGAATCTTATTTTTTTTTAATGTCATTCTGGCATGACATGTTTCACCATGTTGAACAGAATCTTTATTCCAAAATGGTTATTTTTGTTCACACTGTACCTCTTTGTGAGCGTCGTCTACTGTCTTCTTTTCCTGTAAATAAAAAACAAAAATGCCAGAGCCAATGAAAGATGATTGCTCTCTCAAAATGTCTAAAACTGATAGCTAGTATGCTAACCTAGAATTTTCTTACTCTCAGAGTAAGACATGATGAGTCCCCAGTTCCCACGCACTTAATGATTGTCATGAAAAGAAAAGGTGATGCAAAACAGTGGTAAAGAATGCCCCTGTCCCAGCTCTTTGGAATGTGTTGCAGGCATCAAATTCAAAACAATCCAATCAAGTTTGCCAGTTTGAACATTTAAATATCTTGTCTTTGTAGTGTATTCACTTGAAGGTTAAAAAGGATTTCGAATCATTGCATTCCATTTTTATGTTTTACTCAACATCCCAACTTCACTTGAACTGAGATTTGTACATTCATTCATTCACATAGTTTGGTTTTTACCAGTCCTACATGCCCAACATGTACATGTTCTGACAAGCATTTACCTGTGTGAGCTGTTGTTGCAACAGGATGACTTTATCTAACAAGGCCCTCTGTTCCAATTGGTACTTCCTGAGACTTTCCTGCAAGGACTCGTTCTGCCTTTCTAGGTCCTAAAACACAAAGCCAGAAATAAAAAGTACTCACAACAACTTCAACCAAATCAAATATCGGTCATTTAGAAAGTAAAGTCAAATTACTCATATTATCGACAAGACTAACATGAGATATATTCATTTGCTGCCCGATCTGGTAATGCAACAACATGAATGAGAAAAGATTGTATTTACATGTATCATATGATCCCTTCTGTTAGCCTCCATGGTGTCCGAGCGCTCCACCGACTGCTGAGGAAAGGACATTTAAAAAAATGTAAATTTCTGAAATGATTTGAAATGTGACATGATTGCAGATGTGCAAAAACACATCAAAAACTAATTTTCCTGTTTTTAATGCAGAACTAGTGGCTCCTAAAATGAAGGGGGCTTAATATAGTAAGACGGTTTCACGCAGAATAAATTTGTGAGAAAATGTGTGCGAATATTGGGTGAGACCATAAAATGCCAGTAGCCTGAAAAATCAGAAAAAAAGCCTTGAACTATCAGTAGCATAAAACAATCATGAGAGTAATGAGTTAGATTTTTGAAGACCACATTACCTGTCTCCTCCACTGTTCTATTTTTGTTGCCTCTTTTTCTGTAAGGAGTACAACATATTTCAGAATTATTTTTTGCAAAGCCGAGAAGAAAAATAAACTAACTGCTAAACATGAAAAAATATCAGTTTGAACATCACAATATCTCATCATTATTAAACAATGGCATAGCTGTGTCCAAGAAAGACACAAAAGATGGAAATCTTACTCACCATAAAACATTTTATTCTGCATTAATAGAAATGATTTCAACATTCACTCATAAACTTCTACCTTTGTAGTTTATTTTCATACACAAGCATAATTCTGTTTTGGTTTTCTAGTCTATTTATGTTCATTTAGCAATGGCTAAAGTTAAGGCCGTGTAACAAAAAATTGTTTAAATCAGAAAATGGATTTTGATTTAAAAGATGTGAGTGCACAGAATCAAACCGAATCGTTGCATTTTCAAATATATTTAGAAATGTAATAAATAATCTTTTATTGGAGAGATGCACACCTGTAATGTATTTGCACAGTAGATAGAGGATAATTAAATTTTACAGATTTCTGGTCACAATGGAAAGTTTTTAAATTTTGTATGTCGTTCTCTTTTTTTTAATTTTTTTTCTTTTATCACAGTATAAAAACAACCAAACCGAACATGGGTGTATTAACTTCTTGTATTCATTATAAGTCTTGTTGGACACCAATGCTCTGCTTCTACAAACTGCATACATTCAAGAAATCTGACCTATTCCCACCTTTGCTGGCTTTCTCGAGGTAGCCTTTGACCAAATTAACAAGCTCTGGATTCTTGCTGAGACGAGCATAGTGGAACGCATCATGACCCAAGCTGTCCACGTCCTTCACATCAGCACCACTCTTTAACAACACCTCCACTGCATCTTTGCAGCTGTACTCGCAACCGAGAATGAGTGCTGTTCTAAGGGTGACGGGGGGGAGGAAAAAAAAGAGCTTCAGCAATAACATTTTAGTGAGAAGTATGACATGTTACCCGCCCCCCTCCCAACCAAACTCCTAAATGATATCTGCCTTGTTGTACTCCAGGCTATCAGCAGTAACAGTAACCTGAATACTTGTCTTGATATATTTTTGCCTGAAAACACGAATCAAGACCCTTTTGTCTGGTGTCATTATTATTGACAAGCATTATTTCACATGTCAGTATGAGCTCAGGCTTTCACAAAATGTCTATTCATGCAGGCAACTCGGACTCCTACTTTTTTTGTTTGTCCCGCACAGAGATATCAGCCCCTCGCTCAACAAGTAGCTGGCAGATGCGTGGATGACACATTTGGGTTGCAAGCACCAGAGGAGTCCTGCCATCCTAAAGAATACAGACATGACACACATTCACACACACACATCCAACAAGTGTTACGTAAATGCAGAGCAACAAAACAGGCTTTCACTTCCAAAACACAAAAGTCCATCAATTTGAGTATGCTATTTCAAGAGTACATTTTTTCCAGTGCTTTGTGCTGGTGACAGTGATAAACACGCAACGTGCATTTGAAGACAATGATTTGTTTGTTCTTAATGTTATGCTGTTATTTGTATTTTATATGTTTGATACAATTCCTATTTTTGAATAATTTAGATTTTCTTTGTATATTTGAGATATTTTTTGTTTTTACAAATGCTCAAGTTGTATGTGTTTTGTGCTGGTTCTTGGGGTTATTCAGTGGTCTAGGTTAGGCAATATATGGCAATTTGTCAAAATGCATTCCTTTTATAAAAAGATGTTCTTGAAGAAGATAAACATGAAATAAGGGGTCATGACGTCATGGCATTTTTCTAACCCTTCATCTTAGCCCTTGAAACAGAGGACTCATGGGGAGGGGTAAAACAGGGAAGGGCTACGGTGCCGTGAAAAAGAATTTGCCCCCTTCCTGATTTCTGTGTTTAGATATTTATCACACAAAGATTTCAGTTCATAAAACCCATTTTTATATCATAAAGGGACACCCCAGGGAAACAGAAAATGCAATTTAATCTATTTAGACACAAAGAAAAACCCAAACCTACCTGTCCTTATGTGAAAAAATAATTGCCCCCTGAACCTAATAATGGGTTGTGCCGCCCTTGGCAGCAATAACTAAAATCAAGCATTTGTGATAATTGCTGGTGAGTCATTCACAACGCTGTGGAGGGTTTTTGGCTGACTCTTCTTCGTAGAATTGCTTCAAGTCAGCCATATTGGAGAGTTTTCAAGCATAAACTGCCCACTTAAGGTCACACCACAGCATCTCAATTGGATTCAATCCGAACTTTGACTTGGCCACTTCAAAACCTTAATTTGGGGGGGCGGAGCGTTGCCACCCAGAAGTGGACTTGCTGGTGTGTTTTGAATCGTTGCCCTGCTGCATGATCCAAGAGAGCTTGAGTTTAATGGTGTAAACTGATTGTCGGACGTTCTCCTTCAGGATTTTCTGGTAGACAGCAGAATTAATTGGCCCATCAATCACAGCATGTTGTCCCTGTCCTGAGGTAGCAAAGCAGCCACAGACCATCACACTGCCACCGCCATGCTTCAAATGTTGGCATAATGTTCTTTTTATCAAATGCTGTGCCATTTTTATCCCAGACTTAACGGGCTGCACATCTTCCAAAATGTTTTGACACATCAGTCCACAGAATGTTTTTCCAAAAGTCTTGAGGCTCGTTCAGATGTCTTTTGGCAAATGTGTTCTTTTTGGACAGCAGTGGTTTTATCCTGGAAACGCTCATGGATGCCATTTTTGGTGAGCGTCTTTCTTATGTTAGAGTCGTGAACGCTGGCCTGAACTAAGGCCAGCAAGTTCTGGAGTTCTTTGGGTGGTGTTCTAGGTTCTTTTGCAACTTCCTGGATGAGTCGTCATCGCACTCTTGGAGTAATTTTAGCTGGTCGATCACTCCTGTTGCCACTGTTCCCAGTTTTATCCTTTTGTGGATAATGGCTGTGACAGAGGTTTGCTGAAGCCTCAGAGTCTTGGAAATGGCTTTGTAACATTTTCCAGGCTTATAGATTTCAATACCTCTTTCTAATTTCATTTCGAATTTAAAATTCTTCGGATCGTGGTATGATGGGTTTGTTTCTTGAGCGCTTGTAGGCTACCTCACTTTGTCTGACAGATTCTATATATGTGATTACCTGATTCAACAAATGTGGGGCTAGGCCTGTGAAAGTGAACTCATCTTTCCCACATTCTGTCGTCAGTCACAGTTTGTTTGTGATTTAAAAAGAGGGGGTGGGTGGGGGGACGCAATTACTTTCTCACTTAGGGAGTTGGATGTTTTTTTTTGTGCCTTAAATTAAATTCATATTTAGAAACTGAATTTTCTATTTCCTTGGCTAGTGTCTGTGTGATATTAAAATTGGTTTGATGAACTGAAACCTTTGTATGTGATAACGCAGAACACAGAAATCAGGAAGGGGGTAAATCCTATTTCACAGCACTGTATGGGGAAGAATTGTGAGTGAGCCCACAGTTTATAGTGTCAAATGAAGTGGAATTCTTACAAAATCACTGGCATTAACAGAAGCGCCACTGTCGCAGAGAAGTTTCACACTGGATGAGCAGCCTGCCATGACTGTGGAGAAAACAAAAGTCATCCAAGTCAGTCAACTATATTAACTACTAAGAAACACACATCCTTGAGTAATAGCTAAAATGCTCAACAAAAATAATATCTTTATGCTTATCATTGTTAAGTTAGTCCTTTAATGAGATGTATTTTGTTCTGAACAGTTAGCATTGTCTGCTAGAAGTGAGTTAATGCAGTTTGCAGGGTATAAACAGACAATGACACAGAACCTTACCAGCATCATGTAGAGCTGTTCTTCCTTGAAGGTCCACATTTCCAACTGGACAGTTATGCTAAAAAAGTAGAACACAAGCTTACTATAGCTAATAAAACACTACAACAACAATGCTTCATCTTGCACTTAAAAACAGTGGTGAACTTGCATTAATGACCATCTTGTACAGCAGGGGTGTCAAACTCATTTTTTTGTCACGGGCCACTTTGGAGTTACGGCTTCCCTCGGAGGGCCAATGTAAAATATCGTTATTTCTTGCCCATGATAATTTGACATTTCGGTACGGATTTCAGCAAGGATCATGAAAGTTGACACACATGATTTGCTCCCGTGGGCCACATAAAATGACGTGGCGGGCCGGATCTGGCCCCCGGGCCTTGACTGAAGTCTGGGTTCTCACAGATTAACGACTGCCGTCACAACAGCATCGGTCTCGACAGAACAGGTAAGTAATCTTGTGACTGTGAGCTACATCTGATTAATGCAAACCCCTCCATGAACCGTCACCTTACTGTGGTGGAGGGGTTTGTGTGTCCCAATGATCCTAGGGGCTAAGTTGTCTGGGGCCTCATGCCCCTGGCAGGGTCACCCATGGCAAACAGGTCCTAGGTGAGGGACCAGACAAAGCACGGCTCCAAAGACCCTTTATGATTTTGAGTTTCTGAGTTTCCCTTGCCCGGACGCGGGTCACCCGGGTCCCCTTCTGGAGCCAGGCCTGGAGGTGGGGCTCGTTGGCCCCTGGTGGGCGGGCCTACACCCATGGCGCCCGGCCGGGCTCTGCCCGAAAAGGCAATGTGGGTCCCCCTCCCCATGGGCTCACCTCCAATGGGAAGGGCCAAAGAGGTCGGGTGCAATGCGAGCTGGGCGGATGCCAAAGGCAAGGACCTTGGTGGTCCGATCCTCGGCTACAAAAGCTAGGTCTAGGGATGTGGACGTCACCTCTTTTGCAGGGAAGGAACCTGAGCTGGTGTGTGAAGCAGAGAAGTTCCGACTGGATATAATCAGACTTGCCTCCACACACAGCCTGGGCTCTGGTACCAGCTCCCTCGAGATGGGTTGGACTCTCTTTCACTCTGGAGAGGCTCAAAGTTGAGCCGCTTCTCCTCCACATTGAGAGGAGCCAGATGAGGTGGCTCGGGCATCTGATTAAGATGCCTCCTAGACGCCTCTCTGGTGAGGTGTTCCGGGCATGTCCCACCGTCTGAAGGCCCCGGGGATGACCCCGGATACTGGAGAGACTATGTCGCTCAGCTGGCCTGGGAATGCCTTAGGACACCCGGGAAGAGCTGGAACAAGTGGCTGGGGAGAGGGATGTCTAGGCTTCCCTGCTAAAACTGTTGCCCCCGCAACCCGACTCCGAAAAGTGTTAGAAGATGGATGGATGGATGGGTTACCAATAAAGCTACAGTGGTCGACCAAAAAGACCTTGATTTGTACTGATGTCCAAATTTGATTGAAATAAAAAAATAAATAAAACAGACAAAATGAGCAAAATTACAGAGTGCGCCTCCTGAATAAAGTCAACATGACTAAAACCATGTCTTTCTACATTTATGTCTGCCGTCCCACTATTGATCCACAATCCCACAGCTCAATCTCAAATCAAACCAGGGTCATGTGACTTTTGACTTTCAAAATACATTCTCACATTCCAGTAAATATAATTGAAATATTACATGAACTCAAATCTATTCAGCAGGGCTCGACAACGTGCCCAATATGCTCACAAATGCTCTCATTTTTTTCCAATGTATGCCAGTTAAAATTTCATCCAGTCACATAGCGCAAGTGTGTGTTTAAATGCTCCTACCAGAACAAAAAGTGAAGGCGCTTCAACTCTGTGCCCTGTCAGACTGCACACCTAAGCGTCAGGTTAAATACTTCCTGGCTTCCTGTAGAAATTAAATAAATATCGAAGTCTGGATGAGTACTTTGCCATCTTAATTGCCATCTAACTGAAACAGCTCTATTTTGTTTATCGAGAACGGCTTTCCATTCAGCTTGCTCCCAATCACTGAGGCGCTTACGACCTGCTGCGCATTTTGGCAACGGTGATTGCACGCTTATCTATTTTCAGTGGTACATGTGGAATTGTAAATGCTGTTGGGTACTATTACTGTTGTAAAACACATTATGCATATGGTCAGCTGGGTCTCCAAATATCAAGTGACCATTCGTTTAAAACGCGGAAAAGGATGTATTTGTTGCAGGCTGATCACTTGGATCAGTCTTTTCATAAAACAGGCAGATGCTTGTGATTGAATATTTGTATTATCGTTTATAATACACTCAACCTTTGTGGTTCAAAAGGATAGGGTCATAATGGGAACTATCACAGACTGGTACAACCAGGTTGATATACACTTTAGAAAGGAATGTGCTCAAAATACCTGCAATTAGGTTATTAAAATTAATTCATCCATTGATCGATCCATTTTCTATACATCTTATCTTCACTAGGGGCGCAGGTGTGCTGGAGCCTACCCTAGCCAACTGTGTAAGAGAGATGGGGTACACCCTCGACTGGTCGTCAGCCAATCGAAGGGTACGTAAAGACAAGCAAACATTGACACTCACAGTCACACCTTGGGACAATTAAGAGTCTTCAATTAAACTGCGGTTGGTGTTTTTGTGTAGGTGGAAAGAAGAATATGCAGAGAAAACCCACATAGGCGCAGAGAGAACATGCAAACTCTGCACTGGAAGCCGGAGCACAGATTGGAATCCACAACCTCAGACCTGTAAGGCAGATGTGCACAGCAATCATCCACCGAGTGGTTGTTATTAATAATAATTAATTGTAGTCATCTATGTGAAGACGCCTATCATGTTAGTGTTTTTGACCATAATGATCAACAATGACTTAATGAGGTAGGAAACAAATATATTCATCCATCCATTCATTATCTGATCCGCTTATCCTCAAGAGGGTCGTGGGCGTGCTGGAGTCTATCTCAGCTGTCTTGGGGCAGTAGGTGGGGTACACCTTGAACTGGGTACCTGCCTTTGTTGAAAAACAGGACATATTTCAAAGTGACAGTGCGGAAACCAAATTATGATTCAGTTACCGGTTTGGTCGGTAACATTTCAGAAAATAGTCAAGAAAAAAATGCCCATTACTGTTTTCCAATGTATAAGATGATGTCATGCCAACATTTTATTTGGGTTCTGTTTTCAGAGAGGTGTACAAATATCTGAGCATATTTACTGTTGGGAGGCTTTAAATTCCAAGCATTTGGACAACTCTAAATTAAACACGGTCCCTAAATGATGAATCAATTTTAAAAATAAGTCACTCAGTGACGGTGTGGATGTGGGTGTGAATGGTTATGTATCTCTGCTGTATATGTGCCCTGCGATGACCAGTTCAGAGTGTAGTGTGCCTTCCGCCCAAAGTCAGCTGGGACAGACTCCAGCAACTCCCCATGACCCTGTTCAGGATAAGCGGTGTTGAAAGTGGATGGATGGATGAATTCTAAAAACAATGATTGATTTATCATTGCACCCCTAAAATTGACAAACATTCACAGGAAATTGCAACGTCGACGAGCTCACACACTCACAGGAAGCCAGGACTTGAATGGCAATGGATGGACATACAGGTTTACTGTCCCTTCTGCATTATAATGGAAGTGCATTTAATTGTTCTTTCTTTCACAATATGTTGCTGGCAAAATAATATCAAGATAATAAGCTAGCCATTAGCACTCATGACTGTCTCTTGACCAAATGTACCATGCAAAAACCTCCACATTCACAAACATGCAAGAGCTCACAAACTGCTGACATTGTAAATAGAAAGTGTATTCCAATTTTGTAGCTGTTACAGAAAACTTGCCAAAAGCATCTATTTTTGCTGGTTGGCGGTGAAATGTGAGGCACCTTGCATGTCAAATTAGGTCAAGTGGGGCTATGATACTATGCATGCGCATTTCAGCCAGCAAATTTAGTCACCACAAGACATACTATTCCACTGTCGTGAAGAGGACCTGCTTATGACAGCCATCAGGTCAGAAGGAGGCCTAATGTTGCTGGGTAGTTTGCTCGTGAGCACAGACACCCTCCTATCCCATACGCACTATAAAAATCTTCTTCGCACTGGCAACAAGGGCCAAAATTGAGCATCATGATCAAATGACCATGGGGGAGGTGGGAATGGGTTTAGCAGGGGGAGATGATGTTCGAGCATCTCGGGGGGATATCCGACATGACAATGATGAAGTTAGACTGTGGTAGTTGAGACTGAGCACGCTGGCATCGTGCTGGTATGTCTGGGGCAATGACGGCACCCAGAATGGACGGCAGAGCTGTAAGGCTTGTCAACACTTTCGAAATCAACAGACATGACCTCTGTCAAATCACTGCCACGTGGGAAAGGGAGGTTTAGGAGGTGGCAGGGGGACATTTCTATGAGGGAACAATACTGCAGCTCTTTGTAAACACAAAGTAAATGCATTCAGCAAGCAGTGGCCATACGTGACAGTTATTTTTTCAAGAATTATTCAAAGGAGTTGAAAGGCCTCACTGTCAATCATAAACATTATAATATGCACAAAAAACACACAAATGATGTCAGCAGCCACATCAGATATGGCGCGTCCTACGATATATTTGCACAAAATGATCAATCCAGTGCAAAAGTTGAATCAAAAACTAAAAAGCATGATTTGGACACTTTTTGAAAGTGATAGAGAAATCTATGAGCAAAATTGTATCCTGTTTAAAGTTTCATTTAATTTGGGCAAGTCGAAACGTTTGGGTGCATATCGAGCGCCCCCAAATGCATGTGCGCAAAGTCACCGGCCATCTGGGCAGAGGGCTTTTGAGGTCCACAATTATCACGTCAATGCAAGGGGGCGAACAGAGGGAAGAAGGATAGACTCGGTCACAAAGGGGGAATGAACAATTCGGGAAAAAAGCGTTGTTGAACAACAAAAGACGATTTGAGAACACCCGTCGCGCCCAGGCGACATTTGTTGCCTGCAAAGTCTGCAACTTGTTGATTCATTGTAGACCAGACAGAAAGGCGTCAACGTACCGGTAGTTTAAAGCTTAAACCAAGGTAACCAATCACTACCGAGGGGCCGGACCGGGGGCGAGGTATGCAAATATCGGGGGCAGTCTTTTTCTTGTATTTTGCATATGTGACAATAAAAGTTCAAACTGGCAGAGAGGGAACTCTGGGTGTGATCATCGGGGCAACTATTGTCGTTCGCCCTCAGAGATATCTCCCGCCGATATTGAAGACCATTTTCCCTGTGTGCCGAGTTATTTCTTTAACTTTGTCCGAGAAAAACTCTTGACAGAAAGGTATTAATTTATTATTGTGAGTTAACAATGCTATATAATTGCACTGCATTGCACACAATGATGTACATGTACTGTATTTAATTACCGGTATTTGCAATACCTTTAGGCTCATAAAGTGCCATTCAAAATATTCGAGGGGAAGTCAACCCCCAATTGTCTTTTCAATAATATGTTATATGCGCCTTCACTAGTCTCAACACGGCATTCTGATTAATATTGCATTCGTGAAATGTTTCACCATCTCCGGGGCAGCCATGTTGCCAGTTTCTGTGGGCTGAAAATGACATCACAGTTGCTCAGGGCTCAGGTAACGACCAATCATGGCTCAACTGTTTTCTGATGCCAAACCATGATTGTTTGCAACTGTGATGTCATTTTCAGACGACAGAAAATGTGATGGACAAAAACGGCTGGACTTTTACTGCTTAACTCAGATTCCTGAGAAGCGCGATACTAATCACAATGTCATGTATAGACTCGAGTCGCTGATGGTGTAGTGCTACACTCTTGTGAGCGGGCAGCATGGGATCGGGTTCCCCTCTCAGTGACGGTGTGGGTGTGAATGGTTGTTTGCCTCTATATGAGGCCTGTAACTGACTGGCGACCAGTTCAGGGTGTAGTGTGCCTTCCAAAGCTGGGATAGGCTACAGCAGCCCCCCACCCAACGCCCCCCACCCCGCGACCCTGTTCAGGCTAAGTGTTGATAATGGATGGATGGATGGATGGCTGGATGGACTAGTCGGGCTGCATAAAACATAATATTTTCGAAGAATATTATTCTTAGAAATACATTTTTGGGTTGACTTCCTCTTTAAGACTCTTGTGTTGGATTGTATTGGATCGTGCATCTGTACCCGGTTATTGGATCGTGCATCTGTACCCGGTTAAGTGTCCAGGGAGTATAAATCAAAAGGGAAAGGAATGGACTGACAAAAAACATTTGGCAACCCATCATACAAATGATAACCTTAAAATAACACCAAATTCACCATACCTGAAGGAGTTTTTGCACACACAGCGAATGGCCATTTCTTGAAGCGAGATGAAGAGCATTTTTACCTAAAATATCAAATCACAAATAGGAAAAAAACACCATTAGGAATTGTTTAGAAATAGAAATACCCTGATTATAAAAGTAGTTTCACTCCGGAGCAGCAGTCAACGCTTTGATTTGCAATTATAGTGTGTTTAAAGGCAAACTAAGATGGAAAATAAGAGGAAACGGTCCCCTCATCAGTTCGAGGTTGCATGATGTGTAATATGGACGAAAATACAAACGGGAGCCTGTGTGAGGGTATATTAACATATGTTTATTATATTGTTGACTGTCATAGCAGGTAACTATGGACAAGGTTGAGAGTGGAAAATAATTTTTGTATGCACTGGAGTCATAAAGGCCTATAAGGAGGCAGCACAAGATCAAGAGGCAAATAATAATCCTCTGGAAAGCTGACATAGTCAGCCAAAGATGCACAGACCCTTCCGGGTACGCCCAGGTATAATTGCCCTCGTCAATTACAGTATACAGTAAAAACTTGTTTTTCATATATAATCGGGTTCCGAACCCTCCAGCCCCGCCAACCCTCGCCTCCGCGAAAGGTGAAAAATCACGACGTAGGATTTGCCCCATCCCCCTCTAGGTGTTTTCGTGTTTGTGTATGTACTGTTTGCATCCAGTTAAATGTAAACCTCGATTTCACGGCTGTTCCACAGTATGTTAGTACCCTCTGTCGGTGGAGGTGTGTGGCTACAGGCAGGTGACAACAGACCAGTTACGTCGTTGTCCGTCTGATCATTGATGTTATTGCAAGGAAACATCACAGGAACCAGCATGTTTAAAATACGTATTTGTACTTTACATATTTGAGACCAAGATTACAACAGTACACGTATTAAATCTTTGACAATAAAACTTCACACAGTCATGCCTTCTTGCGTTGGTGGTGTAGAAGGCAACTCTCACTTGACTGGTAGGCTGGAGGCACTGGCAGTGTAGGTGAGGTTTGTAATTTGGAGAAAATCATGGTGATGGGTTGCACTATGATGTTCATCTTGTCTTATGATTTGATGAAATTGGTTTACGGTTTCTTTTTTTAATCAGACAGCGGTCTTTTTTTAGTGAAGAAGGGAAAAAAAACTCTTACCAAGTTGACAGTTTTGGCTGTCATCGTCTGAGCTGTCAGTGTAAGGGCTGCGAACTACCCCCTCCCCTCCTACTGCCGCCAATGTCAAAGCAATGTGTCCCTATTGATGGTGCTATCTCTGACAAGCGGGCTAACACATTCTCAAACGGCAAGGATGCCTTAATCCAGAGGGCGGCAAGAGGCTGGAGCGGAGTTTAACTAATTAAAAAAATGTTAGCGCTTGAACAAAAAAAAAGTTATCGAACGCAACTCTAAGATACAGTATGCGAGAGGGACTGACAGACTGGCAATAAGCCACTCGTGCTCTCATTGGTTGATGTCGTGCCGGGAACCAATCATGCACCTTGTTTGAGTGAGCATGTAAAAATCCTCTGCGTCACGTCACAGGGTTCCCACTCTTGCACTTGCTTTTTATTTATGGACCTTATGAGGACTTTTGAGGGCTAATTTAGCCATTTTTTAAGGACTTTTTCTCCATTTAGCAGGGGATTTACGATGGATTTCATGCCCGCTCAGCAATATGCGGGATGAACAGAAAGCCACATATCACTGAGCTTGTGTTCAAATCATTGCTGCCAAAGGAAGGGCACATCTTTATTTTTAGGGGCAATCAGCTAATCCTTTATTTGACATACTGTATGTCAAATTTTCATTTTCTTACCCAGGGTTCCCACTCTTCCACTTGCTTTTTATTTATGGACCTTTTAATGACTTTTGTGGACCAATTTAGCCATTTTTTAAGGACTTTTCTCCATTCAGCGGGGGATTCACGATGGATTTAATGCCCGCTCAGCAATACACGGGCTGAACAGAAAGCCACATATCACTGAGCTGGTGTTCAAATCATTGCTGCCAAAGGAAGGGCACATCTTTATTTTTAGGGGCAATCACTTAGCCCTTTATTTGACATACTGTATGTCAAATTTTCACTTTCCTACCTGTATTACAGGTAGGAAAATGAAAAAAAAAAACCTAATTCTCAAATAAAACACACAAAGAAAAATTTAAATTGAGAAAATATAAAACTTCAATTTATTTTCAAATAAACACAACACAAAGAACAGAGCTAATGGTCATATGTGTCACCAGGACAGGGTTTAGAAAAATCTGGTTTCACTAACAGTAGTACTGATTGCCCATCTTGGCAGTATCCAGTATACTTGAACAGCTGAAATGCATGTCAGAAGTCTAAATCCCAAATGGTCCAACCCTTTTATTTTCCCTCATATCACCTTCAATGATCAGACATTTTTTAGAATGACAAATATGAAACTGATATGACAATTAGGGAATAGCAGACAGTGACTTAGTTTTCTCCTCAATCTCTTTTGCAAGTTCTTGGCGATCAATTTTCTTCTGTTTTGCTGTGTGCCTCAATGCATTTGACTTGACCAGGAGGCTATGACAAGTTTTACCTCTCACGGAGATGCCCTTCTTGCACACTCGGCAGTAGACCGACGTATAATCGTTAGCAATTTTTCCGACCCAAACTCGGAACTCCGGCTTCTCCAGCCACGCCACTTGAAAATAGCATTGTCCCGGAATATTTGTAGCGACGCCACTCGAGCGAAGCACGCCTCAGCAGTCGAAAGTCCACTGCTCTTTGCTGTGTGTGCGTCCGCGGGAACATGTCTTTTGGAAGCAACCGATGTCACAAATCAAATACACTTTGATCTACGACAACAAAACGCTTGCCTAGCCGAAACAACAGCTAAGCTTAGCTGACGTACACACGACAGAGAGCAGCGGACTATCGACTGCTAAGGCGCGCTTCGCTCGAGTGGCGTCGCTACATATTTGTCTGTCACTTGTTGAGATCGATAAATTCGATGAATAGATTTTTCCAGAAAGTACGGTAATTGTTTGCCGAGCCGGCAACCAAACCATCCATTCACTGCCCCGGGATGGCGTCAATCTATTGTTGTTTCCCGGAATGACCCGAAGTGATCACGTGATCATCGTCGGAAATAATCAGAGACGGCGGAAAAAGCGAGCGGGTCCCAGATCCTGCATGTTCCGACAAAACTATGAATTGCAAGGGTGGGGAAAATGACATACACAAATGAAATGAACACCGCAGGTTAATTTTTATGGATCTTTATGGATTTTAGAAGATTTCCCTGAAAATTATGAACAATTAAGTACATAATTTTACAACTTCTTTTTTTATTGATTTTTATGTACTTTAAGGACCCGTACGAACCCTGTTACCTATATAAGGTAGGAAAATGAAAAAAACTTGAATTCATTCTCCAATAAATTACACTAAGAAAAATTTAAATTTAGAAAATGTAAAACTTCAATTTATTTTCAAATGAAAATATTTTTTTAAGGATTTTTATTGATTTTCGAAGCTTTCCCTTAAAATTACGGTCAATTAAGAACATAATTTTACAACTTCTTTTTTTATGGATTTTTATTAACTTTAAGGACCCGTGGGAACCCTGCATCAGCTCTTTCTTTGGCATATAGGGAAACTTCTCTCCCTGCATCAACATGAAACAAGTCTTTCCGCAAAATGGGTGCCGATTTGGCTGTATGTTTTAATTTTATTTTTTTGTTCATATTGAAAAAAAACAAACACTGAGCCCGCAAAAATCGCGGCGCGTAGTAACAAGGTATCACTGTATACTGTATAAGCAGTTAGACCTTTGAACTTAATAGTGCAATACTGCACATCTGAAAGGTGCAGTCAAGTAAGATTCTTTAGCTGTTCATCAGGGTCGAAACACTGTACAGAAGTGTGGTAGTATACTGGCGCCACTCAGCAGGGACTCACCAGTGGCATCAGTCGCAGTGACATCAGCACCGTGTGAAAGGATGAGATTGAGACAGTCCAAGTGTCCTCGTGTTGCAGCCAGATGAAACCTTGATACAAGATACAGAAAGATACAATCCGCCATGAAGCCGTGGCAACAAGGAAAACTCAGATAGTCTTCCTTGTTCAGCTGTCACTTTCAATATGTGTACACTTTGTATCGTCTCCTGTACTTTCTCAGGCCTTTGAACCCTTTGTTTGTCCTTTTTTTGTGGTATGAAATTGCTTTGGAGGAAAACAGTGATCAGCATGCTAAAAAGATAGTGAAATCAAATGCACAACAGTCTTACATGTCTTTCATCACCACTTTGCACAGTAAAGATTTGTGACTCTCAGCAAAGCATTATGTACTGTGTAAACTGACCTTAGTCCATCACGCATCAAGTCACATGAATCTGTTTATACACTAACCCCAAGGATTCTGCCAAGGCGACAGCATGGCTGTCGCCTCAACACCCATATGAGTATTAAAAGTAGTGATAATGGCCCAGAGAGGCTGATTCTTGGGGGAGCACTGGAGGGTCCCCACCTCACTAAGTAAACACCTCAAAAGCAGAAACTAGTTTGGGGGAGCTATAAGTCATTTGACTCCACACAAAGAATGTTAAGACACCACAGTGTTGCCAAGAATGTTAATAACTCAACATAAAGATATCCATAAAAGCTGAAAAGAGATACATGCAGCTGCCCAACATATCTGCTTCATAAAAGGGCTAAACATAATTCTGGGCTTCAAGACCGCACATTCAGTGATGTCATGTTGTCATCCCACGAGTTATTTGGGCAGCTTCAAGGTAGGCAGTGTACAGGTGGCTATTTTTAGCTTGACAGAGACCAGTTAACCAGAGTTAAATACTGTGCCTGAACCTCTTGAGGATGAGGTGGTTCCTTCAATAACATACATAGTCTACACCAAGTCACAGACTCTAAAATGTGTGTATTAAATTTGATTTGGTAACTCCCATATTACTTTCACATGACCCTCGCAAAGCTGACATTTTTCCCCTCTCAGAGACCAAAGCAAAACTAATAAGAGAAACAGATAATAAACAACCTGACTGAGATTTGTCGTTTGTGTGGGTATGTATTTTGAGTGGTGAAAAAGAGCTCTTGCAGCCTCTTTGTGACATGCCAACACACCCATGTAATTAAGAGACCTCTATACACTTAAAATACAACACTTTCAAAAACATTTGTTCCCAATAAACAGTAAGAATGTGAATGCAACACAATACCGTTTACTTGAGACCTACACTGTCCAAAATAATCCATCATGTTTATTGCATATTGAGTCCACGAGTTAGAGCAGACAATTTACTCCAGTAATGTACTGGATACTTCCACTAGAACAACTTTAGTTATTTGAACTGGAAAAATCAGTGGCTTAGCTGTAAAATACAATGTTAAATAAAAAAAGACTTCTTTATTCTACGACAACCGAGTAAGCTATGTTGTCGCAGTGCCGTGCCTCGAATTGAAATATGCTCAATTCAGGAGCGGCCTCACTGTGACATCCAATAGGAGATGTGCTGGTGGAGTGGCTTCTGAGTGCTAAAAGCAACAAACGAATAAAAGCATGAATGCTAATTCCTAGTCGGCCGTGAAGCAAGTAGTTACACAGGGTGGTGCCGGGCCATATGTGGGCAGGCAACTGAATCCAAATTTTTACTGTTCGTTTAGTGAAAGTCTGTTGACATTTTCTGCTGTCTGTTGGTTCAGTGGATTGTCTATCAAGGACAAGAAGAACCTGAAAAGCACTGTCCACGTTTGCTCTAAAAGCACTGGGGTCAAGCAGTCAAGAGATCTGTGTTCCCTCTGGGAGAACCAGGTGAAAAATAAGGTAAAGCGCATCCTCAGTCAACCTGACCATGTGCTGTCTGCTCACTTCTCGCTACTGCTATTATGCACCTCTAAGGAGAATTAAAAGATGCTCCCAATTTTTTATTCCTTTTGTTGTCAGGCTATTGAATTATTTTCTATGATATTTAATAAAAAATTGTTTCTTATCATTGCTTATTTACCATCAAGACCTTTTTGACTTTGTTTTTTTTAAATACAGGTATGTGTTATGTCAGATAACATATTGCATGTTGTCTGTGTGACTGACTGTGTTCCGGTGGACTGCAAAGGATTTGCCCTTTTAGGGATCAATTAAGTGTCTGAATCTGAATCAGAATGCGCATGTGCGCGGGGCCAGATTTGGTAGGGAATGCTCACATTTTGGGGTTGCTCCACCCACAGTACAAGTCTGGCATGAGAGTGCAAAAATAATAGATTTGAGTGGAAGGGAGAATGCGATCAGCCAGGAAAGGCGTGCATTTTTTCTGTTTTAACAACACAACAGAATACAGTATGGCCGCAAGTCTTCAATTCAATCTTGACCTTGATGACTCCACAGACATTTATTGTTGTCAAAATAAAAAATAACTATTAATCCTGAATAACAAAGGGGATCACAGTGACGTATGTATGAAGTTGAACCAGTGAACATCTGAAGTGCTACCAAAGTGATTTTAGCAGCGGACTCATTGTGAGCGTTCGATCACATCCGTTCTTTTTAAGCAGGTGTGGCAAATCAGGCAACTAATACCACGGCAGGCATTAGCTGTGTTTACTCAGCTGGACGCCTAAATTAATTACTTCAACAAAATGCTAATCCATCTTGCAGACAGCCCTATTATTAACTAGTACAGATTGACAAACAAATTCAACAAATTTAATTAATGGTTTAGCAGTTTGTAATTGGCTTCCCCCACAGAGAAGTCTTTAATAACCACCGGTCACCATTTTACATTCTTTCCCGGCTTTGGCAACATCCAGAATGCCATTAGACATGTGTTGGTCTGTGGGTGGCACACTGAACTAAGTGTAGACTTGCTGAGTAGCAGTTGTGGTTAATTTTGTTTTGGGCAGACCAAGCAAAGGGGTGATTTCTTCTCTTAAATTTGAATTCAGAACTCAGGTTACTGCATTTAGTTCTGATGAATTCGAGCACATTATTACGACAAATTTGAGAACGGTATGCTGAATGTTTTGTTGTTTTGTGCAACAGTGCTGAAAAAACAACTTACACAGACGGCTGGAAACGTTTGAAGGAGGAGAGGTTCGACAGCGATAAGCTATTAAAATCTTTTTCACACTGACCCTGGAAGAGACCAGAGATCGCAATATATTGGGGATTAAACTGAATCCATTTCATAAAACGGGGTTCAGTGTTCCGAGCTTTCTTTGCAGAAAACTGGGAGGCTCCCTGACAAAAATACCATGTAATATATGGGCTTAAACAATGTCAACTGATTCCAATAATAGATTCCTTCTGAGGCAAAACTTCTGTCTGACTTGATGTTGTGAACACCACAACTTATCTAAGCTGAATTTTTGGGTTGTCATTTCCTGTGAGAACTATCCAAACAGCCTCATGGCCAGTGTGGTCAAGCCTCGAGAGGCCACAAAAATTCTCAAGACCAACTCCTACACTGACCTCCAGAGGCAGATGGCCATTTAAAGGGGCATGTTGGGGGGGATAGATATATATATATATATATATATATATATATATAAAACAAGCACTGTACTAGTGTTCAACTGTGATAGAAACATTTTAAGGCAGCTCGAAGAAGGTTTAAAGATGAAATGTGAAACCTTATCCATAGCTGTGAGGATTTTATTGCAATTTTTAGAGTGTTCGATAGGGAGATGAAGCCTTGTGGTCATAAAGAAAGGTGTCAAACTATTTCTGAGTAAGCAGTTAAGAGCTGAGCTCACCATTGTTGAAAATCCTATCTTTGTAAGAGAAGGAACAAGAAAAAGTTGCTCTGAGCGTGTTGGTATTGAACTTTAAGTGTTTTGTCAAGGGTCTATTTTCGTTTGTCAACAGACTGTGACTGGGCGTGAGCTTGTCTGAGTATGGAAATGTGGGTGTCTGTTTACTTACGCAGAGCGTCCCTCCACATCAAGCTTGGTTGGGATGATACCCTTCTTGCTCAGAACAGCAGCCGCCTTGTCCACTTCCCCTCGCTCGACTGCCTTCATCAACCGATCATCGTACTTGTTCCAGTCTGTGTTCTGAGAATAACAACACAAAACCATCAGTGATCTAGTCTTTTGGACAGAAATGGATGGCAGAGTAGTTTAACAGTGCAAATATAATTAGTGATTAAGAGCTACAGCTCTTTTTTTTTTTTTTTTTTTTTTTTATACTACATTGTTGTTATGTAAGGGAACAGTGCTACATGAAGCACCAACACATACAAAGCCAGTTTACATCTGAAAATACTGGCATACTCTCTGTACATTCGCTGAATTACAGGAACTGAGAATGTTTGCTGGATTTGGCCACCAACAAACTACCAAAAGTAAACATACTATGAATCATTTTGCCGTTTAACATCATACAGTTCAATCATTCAGCCTAGTTTAATCACAGCGTTATTTTTGAACAGGGACGAAATGAAACCTAGAACAGCATTTACGACTTGTTTTTAGAAAGGAATACCTACAAAGTGCATGGAGGTGCATTTCAGCCAGCGGCTCATCTTGGGTGAGTGGAACTGGTCCTTGCACCGTGCTACCGAAAAGGTTGCCAGCGTTCCGGTTTTGAAAAACAAAAATGGAGCAGAAAAAAAAAGTATAAAATTCTCCACTATGCACTCAACCAGTGAGTGCAAAAAAAAAAAAAAAAAAGATCAAAACGGCAGCAGAGGTCCTCTTATGAAAAGGCTCATCCTCTGGAGTGGTCTTCGTTTGAGGAATATTCAAGCATTCCTGCGCTTCTTACAGGCTCTACCTGTAAGTTAACCACTGCACAGCAGTCGATTCTTCAAGGGAGGATAAGGAAGAGTGGAAAAGGAGGAAAGAAACAGAGGTGGAGAAGCAGTAGGGCCAGCCCCTGCCAGCCTTGGGACCTGCCCTGGCCGGCAACTGCAACTCCTCCTCAGGGGGGAAAGTCAGCTCAGCTTGGCTACTTCTCAACTCCACCGAATGTCTTCCGCTACACTCGTCAAAATCTTCCACGAGTTGCCTAACTCTGTTTTCTTTTGGACAGTCTTCCTCCCTCTCTCTGGACTGCTTTCAGTCTGCCTGCAGACACTGGAAGCAGGTTGCTTATTAAGAGAGCCTCTCTCTTTCCCAGCTTCTTTTCACTGTCAGTGGTCTCATACGCCTTAACCCCCAACAAATGGCAAGGTCAGTCAAGCTTAATGGGGTAAATATGTGGGCTCCCCGGTTTAAAATATCACTCCCTCCCTGGTAAATAGCAGCGGTGCAGACAGCCTGCAGACTGGCTACCTCTTTTTTTGACTTGCAAACCTCTCTATAGTGACTGATTGGAAGACAGGAGCCAAGAATACATTCTGCACATTACTGCACCATGAGTAATGGCTAGAGAGTCTCCACTCCCAGCACGAAAGAAGGCCATCCAAAAGACACTGCTTACATGACCACCCCCCACTGTGCCCCTTACTTGTTTCCATCTGAATATATTAATGTCAGAGGGGGATTGCGGTTTGCACATTTGAAAGGGTCCTGGCATTGACACTCATAGCACATTAGTTGGGCAAATGTTGCTGTTGACCTGTCCATCTCGAGAGAGAGAGAGGTGCTTTTACAAAGCCCCGTGATCCGAGTTCCACGGTAGCAAGGTTAAAAGTCAGCCTTTTTACAACCAGCTGTCTGAGACGGCAGCCCAGTCACATACTAATACCGCCACAGACGAAGAGTTCAAAGTTCACTTGATTAAGTGAAAAGTCACACGTAAAAATAAGAGTGAAAGGGATGAGGAGGGTATTTAACTGACACAATTTTCAGGTCAGAGTGGGCTCGTGTTCCTGGCCTCTGCTCAGGCGTGGTGTCAACAGAGCAGCTCTGAGATCCACAAACATGCGCAATCCTCCTCCACGTGACATGTCATATGAAGGATTGGGTGTCAATTTACGAAAGCTGCTCACCCTAGCATGGAGACAAAGGTGCCAAAATGGCACCTAGCCACAACGGCATACAGTTGAACACTTCACGTAAATATCTCACATGGCTTGATTGTGTGCGTATTTGTTTGTCAGTCTGTTTATGTACTAGTTAAGAATAGGGCTGTTAGCAAGCAAAAAACAACTGAGCGAACTACTTTTGAGGAGAGCTGGTGCAACAGAGAAATACAACATACTTTTTCAGAGATCTTCTTCCATATAATATCCATTCATCACGGACACACGAACTAGTGATGTCAGAGCAGTTTGTCACGACCACATCCTATTTTGTAGTGGAAAGTCAACCACCGCAACAGAGGATGAGCAGAGTTGGTGCAGAAGTGCAGTTATGGCAAGCGGAGAAGGTCCAGTGAAGTGGACAAGGGGGTTATGAGGTATTATTGGAAAACATAAGAGGTTGTAGTATGGACCAAAAATAAGATATAACATATAAAAATTGAATTTGTTGAACATTACAAAATGCCAATGTACTTTTACTGGTGCATTAAAAACAATACACAGTACACTGCGGTACCTTGACCATCAAGAAGAATTTGTTGTATGAACGAACTTGTAAAATCACTCTATTCAGACCTTTGGGGGGAGCTCCCAAATAATTAAAAAACGCAAACTTTTTTTGGGAGGGGATAAGTAAAACTGTTGCACGTGTTTACTACGTTGAAAAGACAGCTTTAAACGTGTCTTGTTTGCATGCATCTAAAGGTAGCATGCCATCATATCAAGTTGCTATTTAAACACAGTGACCTTGGCAACATCACCTGACACGTCCAAGGTGTTTAACTATTCACACATTCCTTTTGTCTGGAATTATTACAGCGTGTGGCTGCTATCAACCCCTCAGCACAGGCTGTAACTCTTCACAACACCTCGGTTTCTTGGTGGGTGTAAAAGATCTGCGGGCTCTCGGCTTGCTGCGGTCCGCGGGCCGGTTCTAATAATAAATCAATATCATCCCAGGGGCCACTGAAAACATTCTCGCGGGCCGGATTTGGCCCGCGGGCCGGCACTTTGACATATGTGATCTAAAGGTAGCATGCCATCATATCAAGTTGCTATTTAAACACAGTGACCTTGGCAACATCACCTGACACGTCCAAGGTGTTTAACTATTCACACATTCCTTTTGTCTGGAATTATTACAGCGTGTGGCTGCTATCAACCCCTCAGCACAGGCTGTAACTCTTCACAACACCTCGGTTTCCTGCCTCTCGCCCAGCTGGACTAACGGGTCTCTAATGTCCTGATGGATGAAATCACTGGCAGCAAATAGAAAGTCAGTCGTCTAATAACAGCCTACTGTCAGGACAGAAGCATAAAGCTGGAGGCTAATATGTCAACTGAAACTGCCAGACTACTGATGTTAAAGATGTGGTTTCACAAGGTTATGACGATGGTGGTGAAAACGGTCATAGTAGACGTCCACTGCATCGATCTATTTATGATCTATGACATACATTATCAAATGTCAAAGTTAGATGGGGAAGAGCTTGGCAGCTTCTTGAACGTATTAGTAGTTTTAGTAATACCTGTAATGCCTTTTCAAACTGATATAGGTTATATTTATCAATCAGTACCAACTATATCACATTTGTTTTGGTAGTAAGATTTAGGAATTTATCAAAACAGTTGAGAGTCAAAAATGGGTCAGTGAACAAGATTTGGCGATGCACAGTGCAAGCAATAGTTTTATTTTTTTGTTTGTTGATTCCATGAAAAAGACCAAAAATCTATCTTCTACTGAAGAAAATGCAAAGTTAAAAGTCGATTTGAACTCCACTCTATATAGTGGTGCTATATAGGTCAAATGAAGCAAATAATGTAAAATACGGGCACGAACATCCACCTCACAGTTCAGAGGGTGTGGGTTCAAATCCGGTATTCCTGTATGGTATTTACATCCTCTCCCCATGCCTGCATGGGTTTTCTGCCGCCCCACATTGAGCCTTGGGATCAGCTTGAGGTTTCTTCCGAAGCAGGATTTTTTGCTTGCCTCAATCACCTAGTACAGGGGTGGCCAACCCGCGGCTTGCGAGCCGCATGCGGCTCTTTGGCTGGTTCAATGCGGCTCCCGGGCTTTCACACAACAAGCGTCGAAAACGCCTCGGCAGTGGCGATGCCATTCAAAAAAGGCGCGAACTACACAGAACGTACGACGTCAGCCTATCATCGCACCGTTACTTGATTGACATAGAGGGCAAACCAATCAGATGACTGCATCACCGCTCATGTGCAAACAACGACGCTAAGCTAGTCAGCCTATCATCAATCCCGTTACTTGATTGACATAGAGGGCAACCAATCAAATGACTGCATCACCGCTCATGCGCAAACAACGGCGCTAAGCGCTAGGCTAGTCAGCGAATTACCTCTGATTGTAAGGCAGGGGTGCCCAATACGTCGATCAGAATCGACCGGGAGCCAGCGAACTGGTCCCAAGTCGACCGCAAGGGTGGGAGGAGGAAATGGGTGGGGAAAAAAAAGATTTGTTTGTTTGTATCTTTAGCTTTCATTCATTTTCAGCCTGTTCCAACTGTTGCTCATCGTAGTGTGCGTGCATATGTGCGCAAGTGCGTGCGTGCGAGCGCGCGTGTGTGTCTGTGTGTGTATGCTTGCACGTGTGCGATCGGGTCGTTCGTGAGAAGTTGGTCGCTTCAAAAGTCGATCTTTGGCCAAAAATGTGTGTGTGTGTGTGTGTGTGTGTGTGTGTGTGTGTGTGTGTGTGTGCGTGTGTGTGTGTGCGTGTGTGCGTGCGCGAGGAAGGGTATGATGTGGCTCTTTGCAGTAACACAGTAAAAAAATTGGCTCTTCGTCTCCGACTGGTTGGCCACCCCTGGCCTGGTGCTTGCTCATGTGGTATTCAGTTAGTCTTATAATAAATGAGGAGTGCTATTGCTCGTGATATTAAAGTGGTGTTTATATTACTATTGCAACAATTCAGAACACTATTGGGACTCATTTGAAAAAAATGTATTTCTTCAATAAAATAATGGACATTAGAGGCTAGTATGCAGTTTTTGCTCATTGAAAAAAAAAGTATCCAGTTAACACTAAATTGCATTGACGATTTAGGGAAATGAAAAAAAAATCCATGCCTACCAATTTTTGGATTAGTCAGGATGACAATAAGGTTTCACATTACTCTAAGCACATATCATGACATTTGGTTTGTGACGAGACCCAAATTAGACTGTAATCACCAGTTGGTACATTCTATCATCACTGAAACCAACGATGTATTGCATTAACATAGCTGCATGCTGTTGAAAATCACTGTGACATGCTGATTTATTGGTGCAATATATTTTGGCGGCGGGATCCCAATTCTCTGGCTATATCGGAGACATGAAAATAACATTCGACAACTGAAACGTTTTGGCTTCATTAAACATTTTCAGTAAGACAGTGAGAGCTGGTTTCTTGTCATGCAGTTGATTTTGGGTGGGGGGGACTTTTCCTCAAGTATTGTGCTGGTCCTGCGTACTTGTTCCTACAAGAACAAATCAATCAAACTGTTGAGAATAATGGTGACTGCTGGCTGGCTGAACTCCAATTCCCTAAGTCCTTAGTGGTTTAGTGCTAATGTGAAATGCATTTTCATTTCAGAGTTGCCATGCAAAGTATTTTAGGCAGACACTATTCAATCCATGAGCAGTGACATATACCTAAGCAGTTAGAACCATGCAGCTGTCTGGGCATGTAGAGTGCAAATGAAATGCATCAGGGCTGGAGAATGTGAGGCCCAACAGGGATGATTGTATGAGCTAAATGGACAATAAAACAAGCGCAATAACAAGGAATGTTCTAATCAGGGGTTTAAGCTGCCAATTCGATCATCCATAAGCATGGCACGATCAAGTAGATTCGGTGTAAAATGTTCAATTTTAGAGCTACAACTACAGATTTCACTTAAATAATCAGTTAAACAGTGTTTTTATCATTTAATATATTCATCAGATTTTAAATTAAAAAAATTCATTCAAAGACAGGGCATTGCTTCAAGCGACATTGAAGAAAATGCACAAATTATGATTCAGTTACTATGTTGGTCTGTGACATACAATACAACATATATTTCTTTATATAGCGCTTACAGAATAGTCAACATAGAATAACGGAATAATATAACACAACACATAACATAAGACACAGACAGTCATGCACTCTTAACCACTTTTCCTGCATACACTTTGTTATTT